GCATATTCAAAAGTAATTTTCTCCCTGGATGTCTCGTCTGGACGAAGGCTTTGAAGTGGTGGTCTCATCTCCCTAGCCTAGCGGCCGAGAAACATTGTGCAGCCTTCAGTGTGCCTCGCCTATATCATATATACCAGCTTATCTATAAATACTTTGGCCAAAAACCATTGTATTGTATCAAGTCTTGCTAAATCCTCCAATCAACAAAGATTAATTGTAATGGAAGTGCTTTACTAACAATGTTTAGAAATGTATTCAAGTGATTTAGTAAAGAACAAAATTTTGTTTTAATCTAACACGGTATGAGATGCTATATATTTTTTAATGATTAAACATTGACTGACCCTATTTTCCTCTGTGCAAGTTTAGGCGGATATGCCTTTGGTGTCTTTGTTAGGTCCCCCATGCTCAGTCTAGTGTATCACATGCTCAGTATAGTGTATCCCATGCTCTGTGTAGTATATCATGTAACACGGGAAGGGTTGCTCTCTCTACTTCTCTACCTTCTACTCCCTCTACCCGTATTCTTACTTTTTATTCTCTACCAAGGGACTCCAAAACTTTTACCAAAGCCAACTCCACGCCACGTGGTCCTAAGACGATTGACCGACTTAGGATTCTACACCCAGTATGACGTGACCTAAGCTCTGAGCAAAACCCTAGAGTCGCCTCTACGCTGCCACCACCAGACCAGTAATACAAGAGCAATGATCGAGGTCTGGATCGATCACGCTAATTAATCAACCTAGGGGCTTGATCCCCACTATATACGATGACCTTGAGTGTGGAATAAATTACACGGTAATGATAATTCCGATTCGATGTTAGAATCGGCGCCCAATCCAACTTTACCTCGTGTGGACCACGTGACCAGGACAAGTTTACACATAAAACACATGGAAATAATGAAATGCAAAATATTAACAAATTTAATTTATTAAAAGAAAACTAAAACAAAATCTAAATATGTTCACTCCCTGTCACTTTAACACTCCCTACTTGACCTGAGTGGCAAATGAGAAGACTATCCCTATAATTAGCAATAGCAACTATACCTTGGGCGACCAGCTCTAGCTGTTGTGCTGGTCTTGGGGAGAGGTAAGATGGTTGACCTCTCCCAGCTGCTCCCGTATTCACACTGATTTCTTCCTTGTCTGGTCTACCCCAGACAGAGTATTGTATCCTTCCGCCTAGTCAAAGTTCTACCCAGTTACTAGCAAGGTTTAAGTTATAACAATTAACCTCTGTTGTACTTAATTGATCCAGACTGGTTGAATTATTTTACTGAATTAAATTACAAACATCTAACGGCAGAGCTGTTCCCGATCCCCAAAATGGTTAATTGAACTTTGAGAAATACTAGACATGTCAACCCTGCTGACCTATGACCGCCGGTCACTCCGCCTTAAAAGTTAGATCTGATTCGTGACGTCACTGATGGTGACTTAAACTCAATAATTAGAATACTCTTGATATTGTATCCAGTACTATTATACAATACAATTTTAATGCAAAATGAATAAAGGCTAATTTCTCTAAATTACTGAATACTATAGGATGGTTCATTATACAAAATTATGAACAAAGATGCGCCCGCCATTTGTGACTCAGACCTGCTAATTCCCAGGGGACTGGGCGTTGTTGAGAGGTCAGGTCCCTACTCGAACTTCTGGAACCTTCTGGAATAATTCTTACAACAGCCTAGTTTGTTACAATCACATGCTCTGTGTAGTGTATCCCATGCTCTGTGTAGTGTATCACATGCTCAGTATAGTGTATCCCATACTCAATGCAGTGTATCACATGCTCAGTGTAGTGTATCACATGCTCAGTGTAGTGTATCCCATGCTCAGTGTAGTGTATCACATGCTCAGTGTAGTCTATCCCATGCTCAATGTAGAGTATCCCATGCTCATTATAGTGTATCCTATACTCAATGTAGTGTATCACATGCTCAGTGTAGTGTATCACATGCTCAGTGCAGTGTGTGTGTGTGTACTCACCTTGTTGAGCTTGCAGGGTCGAGCATCCGCTCTTAAGCTCCACCTATCGACCATCACTGGTTCAATGGTGTGACTGATAATTGACAAAGATGCAGGACAGACCGAAATGTCGTCGTTTCTTTAATTTCAGATATGTGGGATGGATCTTCAGTCATGTGAAGATATGTGGGTTAGATCTTCAGTCATGTGAAGATATGTGGGTTGGATCTTCAGTCACGTTACTGTTCCTCGTCGTCTGCAATGGCTTGACTCTTTTTTCACTCGTGTTTCTTGTTATATTTACATTTAATGTTGTGTATGGAATTGGCTTCGACAACCTCCTCATTTAGTCCATTCCATTCAGCGGTCGACCCCAAAGACACATTCATCAATTTTAACATGCTGTTCATTCAAAATAGGAATTTTCTCAAATATATATTAATATTTTTATATATTAACATATTGTGCATATTTAGGTATTGGTTAGGCTAGGTGTTTCGGTTCTGTTGGCGATTATTTGTATTTGTAGTACGTGGGTGAAGTATATTTACATTTTCTCAATTGTAAATATTAATTTGCATTTGAAAAAATTCCTATTTTGAATGAACAGCATGTTGAATTGGTGAACGCGTCTTTTGGGGTCAACCGCTGGATGGAATGAACTTAGTCTGAGGACGGGTTGCAGGATGAGGTACATATACATAGTCTCTGATTTTAGAGAATGCCTGCTGTTTAGAAACTTGTAATTTTTTTTATTCAGTATATAGCACTGGAAATTAATCTTATCAATGTGAACTCCAAGGAATTTCTCATCTACTCTGTTCAAAATATGGGTATTGTAAATTCTTGGGTTAATTTGACTTGTGGAGTTGTTACCAAACAATATTACCAAGTTACCAAGCAAGCAATTAGACCTGCCCTAAACGCTGTGCGTACTAGTGGCTTTACAAGATTGTAATTACCATATTATGTATCCTCACAATCACAATGTACCTTCTTGTATATGCATAAATAAAAAAATAAATAAATAAATGTCAAACTTTATCAATGTTAAAGGCGAGTTTGTTAGCAGTTACAGCCGCAGATGGATTTTTTAGTTCAGTATTCACCGTGTCAAATGGAATAAGTGGGTTAGCATGGAATAAAATGAAGGCTAATCATCAGCAAATAGAATTGACTTCAGGTGTTAAATGGCATTTGGAAGATCATTGATGTAAATGAGGAAGAGGTGGGGAGAAAGTGCAACACCGGGCAACAAAAATCATTCCAGAACTACGTCAATTTTCATACCAGAAACGGTTGAGGGCCACAGGGTTAACAACACTGCAAACCAGACATAACAGGGCGGATCTCAAATGAATTTTTAAAATACTGAACAATTTAGAGGATGTTGATCCAGACAATTTATTCAAAAGGTCAGATGTAACACAAACAAGGAGCAACGGTTTCAATTTCAACAAGCCACAACGTAGGACAGAACACGGGAATGCCTGTTCACCCATAAGGATATGTGGGCAAAAAACTTTTGTTATCAGTCGTACATAGTGGCTTGTTGAGCTATAAAACCGTTGCTCATTGTTTGTGTTACACTAATGACACTTTGCTGTTCAAACCGTTCTGATAACGGAGAGATTTCAACATCACTTGATTAGTGTAGAGCATCACCTCTTTCTTCCCACATACATTAATGACTTACGAGAACCCGTGTAAATGCTTCAGTTCCTTTTGAACATAACTGTCTGTTTTGTTTTGTTTTTAGTACGCAAATGTATTTGATATCAGGAGCAGCAGCCATCTGCTACACCAATGTAACATTGCTGACACACCTCTGCTGCCTGTCAGATAAATACCTTGTCTACTCTAAATGTATAATTCTCTAGAAAATATACATTTTCTAGCTGCTGTAATAAATAACCTTTCACTTCGTTGAATCGAAGCCCTTTAATTTAGATTGCTGAGATTCAAAAATCTCAAGTTAGAACAATTTAAATATAATTGTAACCCACATACACTAAATAATGTTGTTAATAATGAACTAAAAAAAAGTCCACTTATGGATGTCAACCAACAAACTAACACTTAACATAGAAAAAAACCTACTACATCTTATTTGGAAGCAAATCTACAAATGCAATTCAGCTTCAGATAGACAATGTAAACATTAGCAATAAAAATGATGGAAAGTTTCTCGGCCTATTCCTAGACAAGAGACTCAACTTCAGTACCCACATACAACACATAACTAAGAAAGTCTCTAAAACAGTTGGTATACTCTCCAAAATCAGATATTATGTACCTAACTCTGCTCTCATCTCTCTATTATGCACTAATCTATCCCTATCTTAATTATGGTATCTGTGCATGGGGTTCAACCACTGCAAACCACCTCAAGTCCATCATCACCCACCAAAAATCTGCTATCAGAATAATAACAAATTCTGCTTTCAGACAACACTCAGCCCCCTTGTTTAACTCCCTAAACATGCTAAACATAATCTCACTCCACAAATTCTCTTGTGTCAACTACATTTATAAAACTCTGTTCTTAAATGCAACGCTGCTCTGAAACTCTCCCTGGACAGATGTAATAGGACCCATTATCACCACACCAGAAATAAATATCTCTTTGATATCCCCAGAGTCAAACTTAATCTGTGTAAACACTCTATGCAAATAAAGGGACCCAGTCTATGGAACTCACTCCCGATTGAATTGAAAAGCTGTCCAACTTTTGCGTCATTCAAAAACAATACTAAAAAGTACCTAATTTCATCTTCATTATTATTAAGGTATCTGTTTGATTAAGGACCTGCCCGAAACGCTGCTCGTACTAGTGGCTTTACAAGATTGTAAATACTATGCTATGTGTTCTCACAAACCCAATGTACCTTCTTGTATATTAATAAATAAATTAAATAAATAAATAAATAAATAAATATGTGTGTGTGTGTGTGTTACATATAGTAAAAGAAAACGGGAGGCCTTGTGATATTAGAGAAGACGAGGGCGTCCACTCGGAAGATAAGCGACCTTACCATTCATGATGTTGGACAGTTGCATCAACAACAGCAGTTAATTTGTAGAAGAACTGGTGTGATATTATCACCCGAGGATTATTTCGTGCTACAGGAGGTAACCAGGAGGTAGAAACGCTGAGCGGTGCCAAGTTGTCCCTAGAATTTAAATTGTTCTCAGTAAACTTGAGATTTTTGAATCTCAGCAATCTAAATTAAAGGGCTTCGATTCAACGAAGTGAAAGGTTATTTATTACAGCAGCTAGAAAATGTATATTTTCTAGATAATTATACATTTAGAGTAGACAAGGTATTTATCTGACAGACAGCAGAGGTGTGTCAGCAATGTTACATTGGTGTAGCAGATGGCTGCTGCTCCTGATATCAAATACATTTGCGTACTAAAAACAAAACAAAACAGACAGTTATGTTCAAAAGGAACTGAAGCATTTACACGGGTGCTCGTAAGTCATTAATGTATGTGGGAAGAAAGAGGTGATGCTCTACACTAATCAAGTGATGTTGAAATCTCTCCGTTATCAGAACGGTTTGAACAGCAAAGTGTCATTATAATTTTAACCGAGTTCAAATGCTGTGGCACCTCCATGGACACAGCAGGATTCAAAACCTGTATGGGCATTAAAATTACAATATCGTTGTGATGTCACACACTTCGTGCACATCACATCAAGCACAACATTTTGATCTCTTATTTTTGTTAGATTAGATTAGGTTAGGTTGGGTTGGGTTTGTTTAAAGAGCAGTGATGACATAGGGGTTCCATACATTTCCCAGGTCTCAGACCCTGCATCATAAATCAGCATCCAACACATTCCCCAGACTCAAATCCTGCAGGTTAGGTAACAGATTCAATGTTCAGAAAATTCTGAATTTGGCCGAGATTCAGATATTTCAAATATATTTATTTTTGCATTTTCATTCAATTATTCTTAAAGATTAATAACATATTCAACTCGGGTTCACATAGACATTCTTTCGTATGCTTTGTGTATTTTTTGCCATGTACTAAATTTGGTACTGTATGTTGCAAAAGTACAATATTCATGATTTTTTTTTTTTTCATGGCAAATGTATGGTATTCAGCTATTGCTAGGTAGGTTAATTAGCATAATCCTAGGCAATGTTATTTCCTCATTGTCTTTGCAAAATTACTTCCATTACATAGGCCTTTTGAACTCGACAATTTGTATTTATTTACAAATTTCCTGTGTCACTTTTATGACCAAATTTATTATATAATTATTGGTGCAAATAATAGATCTCACTTTTGTGAATGTTTGAAACAAAAATGACTAATTTTTTTATTTTTTTTATTTTGGCACTTCATATCATGTCTCAAGGATGAACTCTTGCATTTCTTAAATTGTTATGCAGTACCAAAATGTGGCAAGGCACACCAAGTAACATCAAACTGAAGTCTTTAACACTGCTTCCAAAGAGGCACTAGGATGGTTACCCACTACCCTTTGAGCAAGAGATGGGACAATTGGAAGAGAGCTCTTATCTCCAGTAAATTTAAGTCAGCAGAGTTTTGCTAGGTTCCCAGCCATGTTGGTATCTTTAAATGAGCGTGCGAATGCTGCCGCTAAGGAAGCTATCCACACTTGTCCCATCTCCCGTAAAGGTATTCCTTATTCCGACTTTTACTCAGTTATTCATTCCTCCATCCTTGCCCGTTGGCAGGGTTGTTGATCTTCTGTTACTGGTAACAAACTGCGTACTCTTAAGCGTAGTGTGTCCCCGTGGCCTTCCTCTCGCCACCGTAACCGGCGGTGGAAAACAGCTCTGGCAAGGTTATGTATTGGCCATACTGTACTTGCTTAACTCACGGTCACTTAATGGAGCGCCGCTGTGCTCCGTATTGTCCAAATTGCATTGTCCCTCTTACAGTCATGCATATATTTGTTGAATGTCCTGACTTCTAGGACGAGCGTGTGTCTTGCTTTCCGACCGTCCCTCGCGGTCACTTGTCCCTCGGTAGAATTCTTGGTGATTCGGATACTTTTGATATTGTTCACCTTATGTGTTTGTTCTCATATTGGCATCTTTGGTGATATTTTGCGCCCTCTAATTATTCCGCACATTTGATGGTGCTACATAGCCTTCCCGGTTTGGTGCCTTCTTTTGATAATTACCTTACCTTTGAATGAATGAGAAAGATCTGGCTGCTGATTGGCAAGAAGTGGAGCTCTGGAAAGGCCACTTTACAAGGGCAGTTGGATCAAAAGATGTTTTACTGGGGAAGTCCATTTCCAACAATTTTTGTACCACAACCAACATAAATTGAATTTTCACACACTATAATTAGTGTGTGGGTCTAGGTGAGTGGTTACCTGCCTGGCGGGTAGGTGGGCAGGGCAAGTGGGCAGGCAGCCTGTATGGGTGGATGGCAGGCAGATGGGCTTGGTAGTTAGCAGGTGAGTGGGCAGTCAGGTGGGTGGATGGCATGCAGATGGTGGAGCTGGTAGTTGGCAGGTGAGTAGGCAGGCAGACCTTTGGCAGTGCAGTGGCCATGATAGAATGGACATAAATTTATTTTTAAAGCATTTGTGAGGTGGAAAAAACTCTATCCCAGGCATTTGGAACCTCCCACATAAAGAGATTAAAAAATTTAATTTATGCTTCAAAAACATAAAGTCAAGGGGACCTAACTGAAATTTAGTACCTGTATATAAATGTATTAAAGGGTATAACAAGGTGTATATTAATAATGTGCTAAATTTATCAACACAACTAGAGCATAAAATAATAGATACATATTGGATGTTTATGTTCAGGAATGACCCAAGTAAATACAGTACTGGTTTGAAGGTAGGATTGTTGATTAATGGAATGGATTGCACAGTAACATAATAGATGTCCTTGGATGATTTCAAGCATTGGTTAGATAAGTATACGAGTTATTATTGGATGTAAAAAGAAGTGGCACTGCATGAGTCAATAGGCATTCTTCAGTTTCCTTTTTCTTGTGCTTTTACATAAGCCTAGAGACCCCCCTGTGCACTACTATTTTGGTATTGTGCATTCAGTGCTACCCACTTTGAGGCTCCGTTGTGTGGGTAGATTGGGATATTTAAGGCATTTATTCCAAGAGAATTAGCTGTTAATAGAATTTTTATAAAGATAGGGATTGTATTTTTGTTTCCTGAACTATTTTCATATGTTTACAGGTTGGAGAAGCTGTGAATTGTTATTTGTTATCTTCACTGCTAAACTGAATATTTGAAAATGATTAAAAGAAATGTTGCTATCAAGGATCAGCTAGACTCGAATCAAGTTATGTCCCTATAATACACTTATCATGGATGGTTATAAGTATGTCCACTGAACGTGTAAAGGACAAATTTAGAAGGGGTATGAAGTGATGTTCATTGAGATTTATATAATGAAGTATACACAAGATGATTTTATAAGGGATGGTGTGAAAATGGAGTGGAATCCGTAGAAGGAAAGTGCTGCTACTTGATAGAAAACAGCCCAAGTCAAATCTTCATCATTGATTGGTACGGGTGCAGCAGTTTTAACAACACCATCAGGGATCGAGGTATGTTTGTTATGTTGATTTAACTAATCTTAAGATTTATCAGTATTTTGAGTTTAATGATGTTTATAGTTATTGTTCTAATTTGTCTGCATCTTGCAGATAATTTTTACTGAAAATTAAGGTACAATTATCAAATTCTATAATGGAAACCTTAAAGTTAAAGTAATGAACTTGATGATGATGTCAAATGTGAATGCTAAATGCGACTAGAATCATCACGGTGGAAGTATTTCAAGTATTTTGTCAATGTGTTCACCTCAGGAACTCTTCTGGAAGGTGACAACTCTAGCAGGAAAGCTTCTTGGCATCCATGTTTAGTATAATCTTTCATCATTTAACATAAATCTTACTTCATGAGATTTATCTCGAGCACAATTTTCCAATTTCCCTCTCCATGATGTTGTTTATATATGCATCACTTTAATTCTTTATACTTTACTTTTGTATATTTTCTGTGCCTCTATCCATCACGATCTCCATATACTGTATTGAAATCTCTTGATTATCTCGTTTCTCTTACGTCTGCCACTCAACATCTTCACACTTTATCCTCAACATCTTCACAATTTATCCTCACTACTTAGGAATATCATGGGAATTCCTTTTATAGTTAATCACAATAGACTTAAATTTTGATCTTTGTTATAATTACTTTCTATATCCAGGATTTTTCTCCCATAGTTGTGTGCTTGATTGATTGGCCATACAGTACTGTTATCTAATACTTTCTTCACATCCACAGTTTTTAAGGAGGCTGACTGCCTCCCAAAGATATAACTATTGTTTTTAATGACATTGAGTTTTTTTGTTGATTTTATTAGGAATTGTATACTCCCGCTCAAATAGACTAATTGGGAATATTGACATACTAAGCAATTAAATAGTAGAATTTGGCACCACTGTATTCACTTTATAGTTTGAAAAAAATAAAGCTAAAAACAAACTTAAATATTTTTAGGCCTAGTATAGCACACATATGTACAGTACTACATATTAGGCCTTGAATATTGTGTATTAGGCTTAGGAAGGTTAGGTTAGGTTAGTTTAGGTTGTTTGTCCAAATTTTTTGGGAGAATTCAAAATCCAAATTAGTTTCGGTTGTTTGTCCAGTTTGTCCAAATTCAGTTATTCAGATTTATACTTTCTAATTGTGTTGTACGCTGATATAAGTGGAACCTCGACTTACGAATGCCCCTGCTTATGATTTTGTTTAGTTACGACCCCAGTTTTGTCAGAAAATTTGACTTGACTTATGACCTTTGCCTCGATTTGCAACTTTGTTGATACACGTATGGGTTCCTGGTGGCACGGACAACCCTGCTTCAGTTTACCAGACCGCCCGCTTAGTGACGATCATGCTTGAATTCTTGTGGAACTGAATTGTGTGGAACGGATTAATTCAATTTACATTATTATGGAATAATTTGTTTCAAGTTAGAAATTTTCGAGTTATGGCCTGTCTCTGGAAACAGATTAAATTCGTAAATGGAGGAACCACTGTATGTACTATGGTCCTCATCATTACCATAAGTACGTTCTACCAAGACAGGAGAATGGGCTGGAATTTGGTATCAAGGGCATCCTTAAGTTTCATAACTTTTTTTTTTTTTTTTTTAATTAAAAGTAAAATTTTATCTTAACTACTACAGCTTTACTAATGGTGCTACTAGACACAGTGTGTTTCCTATTTAATGATAGTACAATGTAATTAAAAATAAAAAAAATGGCGGGCCGCTCCAAGCAACAGCCTGGTGGACCAGACTCTCACAAGTCAAGCTTGCCCTCGGGCCGGGCTTGGGGAGTAGAACTCCCAGAACCCCATCAACCAGGTATCAACCAGGTATCAGAAGGCCTTCAGAGTCCACAGGAATGCCAAACTGTAACATTCAGCCTAAATAAATTATGACAGGCACACTTTATAAACACGATCAAGTCTAGTAGGTATTTCTAAAAAAAAAAAAAAGTAAGTTACATTAAATATGTCTTACATATTACAGTACTGTAATTTTGAGCAACAGCTATATTATATTTTATAATAATAACAATAATAATTGCTCATACGTTTTAACAATACAGTAGTTTAGTGTACGATAACTGGGGCATAACTGGCCGACCCCTCACAGTGTTCAAGAGAGAACTGGATAAGCACCTCCAAAGGATACCTGATCAACCAGGCTGTGACTCATACGTCAGGCTGCGAGCAGCCGCGTCCAACAGCCTGGTTGATCAGTCCGGCAACCAGGAGGCCTGGTCGACGACCGGGCCGCGGGGACGCTAAGCCCCGGAAGCACCTCAAGGTAACCTCAAGGTAAGGTAACGATACCTTTATTCTAGTACTGTACAGTATATTTCATCCATGCCAATCTCATTGAGTTATGGTCCGAGATAATGCCCACTAGTTTGGGTAGGAATTTGACAAAAATGTCTGATGCACCTGATGTTGCCCCACAACATTTTGGAGTAGAAAAGATAGCTTCTGGTCCAACTGGAGTTACAAAGGAATGAGTTCTGCTTGAGCGGGAGTACAGTACAAAATAATATATATATATACTGTGTGTATATATAATTATTTATTAATTTATTTATTTATTTGTGTTAAATAGGTAAGGGGGGGATGGTAGATGATGAGAATATAACCTGCATTATTTGGAACTTACGAGATTCTCTCAGAGGTTTTGTTCTTTTTTCCTAGGTTATTAGTTCCCATTTTAATAATAAATAACATTAATGTTATTTTATTGTGATATATATTTTTGGGAGTGTAAATTTGGCTCGCCTTGAATTTGGAAACAAAATTCAAAGAAATTGATTAACATGGTTTAATGCTCACCAGGTGGAGTAATTTTGAAAAATACTAATAGTCATGTCATTTTCAGTAAATTGCTTGCCTGGATTGTTGCTGTAGAATTTTCTCTAACTCGTATTGACTAGGTTTTTAACTGGAATGTGTTGGTGGCGGTGGCATTTCAGGCTACACATAATATACTGTAATGCCATTCATCTGGTCTGTGTACCTGGTCAAGCCAAGGGGATCAGGTTGATTTTAAAGTACTGTACAGTACAGTAATATTTAAACCTCGTGAATTTTTATGTACATTATCTTAACAAGTTGCACCACAACATTCTCCAGATGCTTGTGTAGCAGGACACAATTTTAAGATTAACATATGCTACATATTACTTACGTTTTGCATGAGAGTCTAAGCTAACCCCTAGTGCTAAGTGTAAATATATTACTATGCAGAAATGTGTTGAAAATGATATTATATTGTTGTGTATCTGATCAAATGAAAGTATACTGTGCAGTATTGTGCTTTGAGAGTTGGGTATTTGTACAAAAAATAAGTTTTATGTTTAGAAAATGAATTATCATGCATCACTGTAACTAATTTTATAAGATTGTTTTTTTTTAATTAATGTATGTATTGTGTAAATAAGCTACATTAAATTTATTTAGAAAAAAACACTTTAGGTTGATAGAGATCTTTTTCGTGATCTCTTCAGCAATACTGTACTTAAACTTCCTTGTACAGTACGGGTACTGTATTATTGAAACACTTCCGTCAGCTATATTCATTTCTGACATTCAATTACAGAGCTGTGTTTACGATAATTATAATATCCAAAAATACTATAAATGAAAAAGCAGGTTAACTGGTGTAGTGTGTAGACTGTAAATATAAGTACATGTGCAAGAAGCAGTGTATGCAGACCAAGTAACAGCCACTTAACTGCTGTGGCAAACTGTTGAACACGCTTGCATTCCAGTTATGTGCTAATAGGTCATCTGCTACATGATGATGCCTTAGTGTCGTACAGTCCAAAATATCTTAAAATTGTTTCATGAATCATCTGGATGCAACTCAAGTACTCAACATTGGTTATTATTATTTATAGACTATACATAAAGATCTTTTCTCAAGACCATTCATTTCCAAACATTTGAATACTCAAATACATATTCTAAGCAGATAAATGGTTTGGAAATAAAATTAGTATTAACTGCTTAATGTATTGCACTGCCTGCAGTATATGACTGCTCATGAATTATATTGTCTAACTTTATAAACATTAATTAGCTAAATATCATTCAGGCAATTTGTTCTATCTACAGTGATATTTCAATCATTCACACATTCACATGTAAATTGAAAAATATTATCTGTAGTGTGGTAGTTAGTGCAGTCAGCTAACTACTCATTGGTCCTGGAATTGATCCCAAGTAGGGTTAGATGCATAGGCACGTATCTTGGAGTTGGTCATCTGTTGTGGGCTGCCATTGGCAGTCATTGATTAGGAGGACTTCATTAACTCTAACTTGTCCTGTCTCTGACAACTGGAAACCAAATTTGATTCTTACTAGAAATATTTGACTTTTTGTTTAATCTTGGTTTTGTCTCGCTCACCTAATATTGGTTATCTATTTTTTTTCCAATTGGTTTCCTATTCACCTGATCGTGTCCATCCAATTTTGTTCATCTATAATCAGTAATACTAATATTGATTTACAGACATTTTCATTCCCTAATCAATGCTCAAACCCTGTAAATAGTTTGTAAATACAATTACAGTAATATAAACATTTGATAGTTTTCTGAGCAATTGACTGAAGAGATTACTGTACCCCAGCAAATATGTACTTAGCCCTGGAAAGCAAATATTGATACTATATTTAATGTTTTAGTTTTTTAAATTTAACTTAAAATATCGATATTATAAAATAAGACACAAGACTTGTAAAGCCCTGCAGAGGTTCTAGTTGTTGGTTTATGGTATATAATTTCTTTACTCTGTGGTATTTTGAACATTTTAAAAGTGTTGTACATAAATTTATTCTGGTTATTGTTCAATGTTCTATGCAAAAATGATTTTACTTAGCAAATTTTTATTTTAAGATACGCTACTGTACTGTGTTGCATAAAGCATTTACTTGATTAATGAGGAAACAAGCTTATTTCATAAAATTTAATATGTCTCCTGTTATTTTCTTATTTAACCCC